TAGGTTCCAGGAGGGAAGGAGGGGAAGGGAAATCCCAGGTCCAGCAGAGCTGCTCACCCAACCTGAACCTCCATGGAGACTTCACCAAGGGGGAAATTAGGGGCCACCCTCTCCTGCCTGCAGCCCTGAAGGGGACCCCAGGCCTCCTGGGTCAATCCCCAGCTGCTTTCACACTGACTATTGACTCAGCTTCTACAAAGCTGCCAAAAGAGGGGAGGCAGCAGGACATAGTCACTCTGGCAGAAGCCGCCCACCCACCTGGAGCCTGCACTATTCTGGGTGCCCCCAGGTGTCTCTGCCACAGCCCTCAATCCCCATCAGCTATCCAAGAGCTGGGCTTCCCTCCACATTGGAGGGAAATGTGTACCCAGTAGATCCTGGCTCTCTCCCCTGATTCTGACCCAAACAAGGGTCAGTGAGGTCCCAGGGTGGCAAACTGGATTTTGTTCCCAAAGGCCAGAACACAAATCTCTCATCCCTAACCCTTGGGAAGCCAAGACAGGGCCTGGGCTGACCCTAAGTGGGTCCCCAGGAAGAGGGGCTACCTGGGGAGGAGTGGGTACAAGGTGCCAAAGTCCAGTCTTCTCAGCTTCTGCTTGGGCAGGTCCTGGCTCTGGCCCCATAGGAATGGATCTCAGATTCCCAGGTGGGAAGGCACTGGTCCCAAACCCAGCCTGCCTGGTGTCCTCAGCAGTAAGATTTATGGTGTTGCCCTAAGCCAGTCCTGTGAGAGAGCAGGTACTGTTTTTATAGCCATTTTAGTTTTATTGATTTTAGAGAGAGGAAGGTGGGGAGAGAGAGAGAGAGAGACAAACATTGACATAAGAGAAAAATCTATGAGGGGTGCAGGGTGGAGGGAGTCAATGAGGAAAAAGGGGGGAACATCTGTAATACTTTTAAAAAAGAAAGATCAATCTGTTGCATGTACCCCAGCTGGGGTTGGATCTGCAACCTGGGTATGTGCCCTGACCAGGAATCGAACCCACCACCTTTTGGTGTACGGGATGATGCTCCAACCAAATGAGCCACACCGGCCAGGGCTCTGGCAACCATTTTATAGGTGAGAATCTACAGCTGGGGCCACAGAGGTGGATCTGCTCCCATGGGCCTCTCCCAGCTGGGCTACCCCAAGTAGAGCCCACAAGAAATAAGGGAAGGCATCTTGGCCTACAGGAAGGGGATGCATGGCTACCAGCTGCCCTAGGCTCTGACCACTCCTGTCCCCCTCAGAGGAACAGTTCACTGCCTGATGAGAACAACGTGGCCCAGCTACAGGAGGAGCTAAAGGCACTCAAGGTGCGGGAGGCCCAGGCGGTGGCCTCTGCAAGGGAGCTGAAGCTGCAGCTGCAGGAGCTCTCGGACACCTGGCAGGTGAGGCCCTCGCCAATGGACAGGAAACTGCGGTGCAACCAGGAGGTCGGCCACCCTCCATGCTTAAGAGCCCCTGGCTGACCACCGGCCTCTCTTGGCAGGCCCATCTGTCCCGCGGGGGCCGCTGGAAGGAGTCCCCACGGAAGCTGGTCCTGGGCGAGCTGCAGGACGAACTGATGAGCGTGCGTCTGCGCGAGGCCCAGGCTCTGGCCGAGGGCCGAGAGCTGCGGCAGCGCGTGGTGGAACTCGAGACGCAGGTGGGCCGCAGCCGCCCTCTCAGGGTCTTGGTGTTCACGGCTGCTTCCTTGGGTAGGCCATGACCCCCGCCCGCACGTCCTCCCTCCTCCAGGACCACATCCACCGCAACCTTCTGAACCGCGTAGAGGCAGAACGCGCGGCGCTGCAAGAGAAGCTGCAGTATTTGGCTGCGCAGAACAAGGGGCTGCAGACACAGCTGAGTGAAAGCCGCCGCAAGCAGGCAGAGGCCGAGTGCAAGGTGCCCCCTTCCCGGATCCCGCCTTCCCACCCCAACCCCTGCCTGCCTCGCTCTTGACCAGCCTTCTTCCCACTGCCCTCAGAGCAAGGAGGAGGTGATGGCGGTGCGCCTGCGAGAGGCGGACAGCATGGCTGCGGTGGCTGAAATGCGGCAACGCATTGCAGAGCTGGAGATCCAGGTGAGGGGGTGGGGTGGGGTGAAGCCTGCTCCAGGCCTGGATGCTGCCTGACCCCCTCTAACCTGGCTCACCCACAGAAGGAGGAGGGCCGCATCCAGGGCCAGCTGAACCACTCAGACTCTTCGCAGTACATCCGGGAGCTCAAGGACCAGATAGAGGAGCTGAAGGCCGAGGTGAGCGCGGGAGGGACCTGAGAGCCCTGCGTGCCCTCATTTGGTGTCCAACCAGAAGTCAGTGTCTGCCTGGGGTGCGGGAGAGGAGGGTGCCCAGGGACAGGTGGGTCCACACATCCAGTTGCCGTCCGGCCCCAGGTGCGACTACTGAAGGGCCCGCCATCCTTTGAGGACCCACTGGCCTTTGACGGGCTACATCTGGCCCGGCACCTGGATGAGGACTCACTGCCATCGTCCGATGAGGAGCTGCTGGGCATGGGCGTGGGCGCAGCACTGCAGGATACACTCTACCCGCTGTCCCAAGACGCTCGCTTCCTCCGCAGTCTGGAGCGGCCAGCCAAGGACAGTGAAGGCAGCTCAGACAGCGATGCCGAGGAGCTGGCCACACCCTACAATCAGGGCCTGGACAACTGAGGCCCTGCCCTTGAGCCTAGAGCTGGGGTGGGGGAGGGCCTCCAGGGCCACACTTAAACTCCAAATCCACTCCAAGGGACACAGCAGGATGCAGAGGGTAGAGCTGGAGGCTGAGGATCCTCAGGGTACCTGTCATACCCACCCTCCCCAGCACTGTTTAACCATCTTGGTCAGTACCCCTCTAGGCCCAGTTGCCTGGAAATCTGCCCCTCTTAACAGAAAGGGCACGAGAGGACACAGAGGTCCCAGGACTGGTAACAGAAAGCTCCCTCCTCCCACCAGGCCTGGGTAACAGGAGGGTAGCCCTGCTGGGAAGGGCCAACGAGCTGGAAGAGACCTGAGGAAGAAGGGGCCACTCTGGGCTGGATGTCAACACCTCACAATGTTCCTGGGGATCCCTGGCTTCCAGGGACAGATGGCCAAGCTGGGCTTTCCTGCCTGATGCAGGTCTCATGGCCCAAGCAGAACCAAAGTCCCCCTTACTGTGTACAGGGTCACCTGGGGTGTGCACAGCCAGCAGGAACCAGGCCAGGGCAGTGCCTGTCCCTGCTTCTTGGGAGGGGGGGGGCCAGAGCAGCTGAAAGGATGTCATGAGACCCAGGTCCCCAGTGCTCCTACATCTTCCTCTGTGAAGCACCTCATCACCCCATCTTGACCAGTGATGGAAGGGCTCCGCCACCCAGGCTAGCCTCCCCTCCAGGAGTCCCCAGCCTCCACTTCCCTTCCTTCCCTGGGTTCCCCAGCCCCACCCTTTTGCCAGGGCCAAGCCCCAGGAGAGGAGGCTGCCCAGAGGAGTGGCATTCCCATGCCTCCTTCCGCATGGTGGTCCTGTGGTCTCTGCAGTCAGAGCCAAGAATGGTGCCAAAGTCCAACAATGCTCCCCCAGACCTCTCCCCTTTCAGGGCCTTTTGACTCTTGGGGCTCCTGGAGCCTGAAGCGGCCTCCTCGGCGCCTCCTGGAATGGGGATTCATGCTCAGCCCCCCACTGCTTCCCACTTGCCCACTTCTCAGTGTTACAAAGCCTGGGGACCAGGGTGGGCATCGCGGGGCTCTTCCATGTGCCTCTCACACTGCCCACCACCATTTTGCACACTGCCTGTTCACACTCCACATGTCGCCCAGGTGGGGATAGAAAATAAAGTGTATTTACACAGTCACAAAGAAGGGACACTGAGTAAGGGGACTGCAAACAGCCTCAGGGCCACAACCCCTGGCCCAACTTAAAACAATAGGGAGAGGAGCAGGCTATCCTTGTCCTTGGGAGCCTCCCAGAAAGGTAGAGGTTATAGCAGGATAGCAGGGGTGCCAAAGAAGTGCCCAGGTTGGGGTGCAGCATGAAGAGGAAGGAGCATTTGCTGGTTCAGAGTGAGCAACTGCGTGAGGTTTGGGAGAGATGGTTAGTATGGGGGAACAGGTCACAGAGAACTTGGATGTCAGGCTCACAGATGAAGCCTGATAGCCTGATATTTTCACAAGGGTGGCTCAAGATGGTGAGGACAAGGGGCATGATTTCTCTCCTGGGTGACCCAGCTTGGGCCTCCCCTGAGAGATGTGGAGCAATTTGGGGGTCTCAAAATCTGATTGTGTTCATTAAGCCATACTTCCTGAGGCCCTCCTGGTGCTCTGCCCCATGTCTGGCTCTAAGGGATCCCCAGGGTATTGGAGGTGACAAACACTGGTGTGGGAGAAAGAGTTGAGCCTTCATGCTGATGTGACAAGTGATCAGTAGATGAATGAGCAGGAAGATCAGGGAAGGCTTAAGCATGAAGGCAAGACATGGCAGGGACCAGCAGGAAGCACATGATAGAAGGAACAGGAGAGAGTTGGCATGGCCAGACCAGGAAGTGGTTTCTCTAGTCAGAAGCCAAGTTTGCTATTTGAACTGAGGGCAGTGGGGAGCTATGGAGAGCTTAGGTGAGGGGAACACCATCAGATGGACCATAGTGTTGGGGTTCAGTGAGGAAGCCAGGACAAAGACCAAACTGAGCCGGGCAGTGGGGAGAGAGAATACGAGCTCCCCTCAAGGAACCGGGACTGCTGAGCAGCAGGGCAGGATGTGTGATGCACTCGGACAGCCAAGTTCCGTATATTGTCCCATCACTTAACAAACAGCTCCCGTGGGCCCATGCACCATTCCCAACATACAGAATTAACACTGAGACCCCCAACAGTTTCTCTGTTTCCTGCTTTCATAGGGTAATTCCACCCCACTGGCTTCCCAGGTGGGGTAGGGCCCCAAGGGAAACTGAGGTTCTGCCCTGCTCCCTCTTGGGGCTGGCCCTGAGGTCCTGACTGCACAGTAGGTAAGGAGCCAGCACCCACCTTTGGGTTTGTCTCACATTCTGGAAGGAAAGACTCATGGGTCCTTGCCAGGGCTCAGCTAGAAAGAGAACCTCTGTTTTGCCATGGAACTCAACCTTGAATGAGGGAGCATGCTGTGTGCCCTCAACACATTGACTCTCAGGGGTGGAGGTGGTAGGGTCCTGCTGGGATAGGGCCAATTTCTCCTCAGACCCTAGGTTGGGAGGTTACCATATCTGGGGGGGGGGGGGGGGGGACTGGGTGATCTGTGTCTGACAGGAACCTGGCTGCAGGGTGGACTATGAGGACTGGGTCTATGGGCAGAAAAAGGGCTGAGAACCCAACGAGTCCTGCTCTGTCCTTTTACCTGCCCTGAGGATTGTGGTCCTTGCCAGGCCTCCATCATTCTTGGTGTGAAGCAGGAAACCCTTATGGAGGGAGGAAAGGCCTGGGAGTGTTTCCTGAAGGAGCACTTAGGAAGAAGGGCCTGGGCTGGGGCTTGAGGAATCAGGGTGACTGGGTTATGGGAGGAAGGGCAAGGAATTATGACCAGAGGAGACAAATGAAGATATTGGTTGTCTCTAGTGAGGACCCTGGTTTGGGGAGAATACCCTAAGTTGGGAGGATAAGTGAGGTCCCTGAGTTGTGAGCCATAAAGGGGCATGGTGAAGACTCCCTGGTCTCCCACCCAGCGTTGGAAGAGGTTACCCTACAGGCACCTCCCCATACTGTCCAGGAGGGTCCTGCTCCCTATAGGAGGTCCTTTTGAGGAGGCCCCTGCACTGCAGCCTCCTGGGTGAGCAGAGGGCAGTGTGCCCCAAGTAGGGAATCCCCAGAGGAAACAGAGCAATCCCCCTCCCTCCAACACACCGGGGCATGCAAGGTAAGGGGGTGCACACTGGGAAGAGGGGCCCTCCGACCCCCAGCGAGCCCCTCCCACGTGTCTTCTCCCTCTCCCAGGAGTTGCTGGCTCCCCTGGCCCAATGTGGGAAGAGCTTGAACACACTAGTTCACCCATTGGGACCCTCCTAAAGTTTCCAACAGAAGTCAGATGGGGAAAAAACCTACATTCACGCACATGAGTGGGTGTGCCTGGCTAGACCTCGCTTGGCATCGCCCAGTCCCACCGCAGCCTCAGCCTCGCCCCCACGCCAACTATACACATGGGATGGGGGCTGAGGAAGGAAGCGGGGCTCCTGGGGAGCGTGTCCCAGGCCAATGGGGCGAAGCTCGAGGGGAGGGCTTTGGCAAAAGGTGTGGGTGGGTCGCGAATTTGGGCCAAAATTCTACGGAGACCTGGATTCCAGAAGGAGGAGACCAGGGTCTAAGACCAAGAGGTGTAACGGGAGGGTCGGATGCTAAGGCGGAGATGGAGTGTGGTGGGCGGAGTTAGAAGAATCTGACTCAGTGGAAGGTCTCCACCTCCACGACGGTCCAGTCACCCTGCGGGGAAGCCACGTCGTCCGGGGAGAAGCTGGTGACAGAAGTGATACTGGCGCGGGACTCGTCCAGAGGAGACAACAGTTCGGCCCAGCGACCCAGTTCAGCATCGCTGAGCGCAGTCCGGGCGCCGCCCGCGCTGCCACCACCCCCCGCGCTCCCGGGG